GGGCAAATTCACATTACCGTCATGACTATGTTTCGGAGTAACTCGGGGCGTGCCAGCAGATTCATCATCAATCCACCTCACCAGTGCCTTGAAAAGAAGAGAGATTAATATTTTAACAAAGCACAGCAAATAGTTTTAGGCAAGAGAAAAACACTGGCTTCCAAATCAGATTCTCTAAATCAGTGACTTAGATTACCCATAAAGATGTTCCATTTGATAAAGATGGTTATGAATATGAAAAGAACATTTACGCTAACATACTGAGTGAACAAATACACACCCAAAGTATGCTAACTATGATTATAAATTATAGTCACATATTCCGAGGAGAAAAAATGAAAATACACTAATCCTCCAGTTTTTTAGGGTGGGAGAATATTGTTTTCTCAACTTGCTAAATGTCCCACAAGGCATTAAACTATGCTTTTGATTTGATGTGAATGCATACACATAGGTTAAGTGCAGACATATGAAGGTACATGTAGACATGTAATGCAGTTACCTGCATGGGTAGTTGTACCATGAGTAGTGTTGATGTTTGTGGGCATGTGAGGACACATATACCTTCACACATACTGAGATTATGTACTTCCCCTTTTCCTTCTTAAAATCATCTTTTCCTCGTAATGACTATACCTCTGTCCCATATTTGGTAAGGTGGATCACCTCAACATTTTTATAGTTTTTTAAAAGGAACTTTGCACACGCATCAACATTTATTCTGTTCTGAAGATTCAGGCTCTCTTGTCATAAATGAATGGCAAATGCAGAAACCTCTTCCACCACTGCTCATGAACTACAAGTGTAAGACACTCAGAAGCAAGTCAAGTTTTTAAGGAGGATATTTCTCTTTTTTTTTAACCACAGCTTCCTGCTTATCTCTGCACTAATTTCCTCTGATAAATGACAGCTCCAGAGAAGCCTAATATAAAATCATAGTTTGCTATTTATATAACCACTTCTCCCTTCTGACGACCCCACCCCAATTTACTTGGTATCTTTCTACAATGTTGAAGCCAATAGCACATTGCAACTTGCGTAAACAGATGGGACACAGATCTAGGGGGCGCCGGTCAGCTTCTTCCAAGTGGTTGGAGCCTTGCATTAGGCATGCCAGCCACTGGCAGTGTCGAAGTCCAAATATGTGTCCAATCTCGTGGGTTAAAGTCTGCAAGACATTCACATTGAGGCTTTATAGAGCCACCATCATCAACAATAAACTACACACCCCTGCTTTTTCCTTACTTTTCTAAGAAACAGAATTGTAGGAATCAATTCCCTTACCATCATCCCCAAAACTTCAATCTGCCCAAGACTTAACCCCTCATCTCCTTAAATGTCTTCCTGCTTTCTTCACTACACTTAACCACTTAATTACCGGACCAGGGTTTTCTCAATTTTGACACCACTGATACTTTGGGTGGGAAGGTTCTTTGGGGGAAGGAAGCTATCCTGTGCTCTGAAGGATGCTTAGCAGCACCCCTGGCCTCTCCCTACTAGATGCCAGTAGCACCCCCTCCCCAACTGTGACAACCAGAAATATCCCCCCACATGGCCAAATGATCTCTGGGTGGTGAGACTGCTGCTGGTTGAGAGCCTGTTACCATTTACAGCCCGGGGCCCTTCCCCCAGAGATGCTGTGTGGGCGGGTCTGGGAGGAGGGCCTTGACCTGGATGTTAACAAGCACCGGAGGTGAAGCGGATGCAGGGAATGTTCACTGAAAACACTGCTCTATGAGGTGATGTTGTCAAACCCCACAGATAGTGCTGGGAAAAGCAGAAAAGCCTATGTCCCCGGCTATCAACGATACGAGGAGATAGGCTCCCCAAGAGCAGTGGCGGGGGAGACGTCAGGAACTGTCAGTAGGACCAAAGCAGGAGAAGGGAGCCTGGAGACCAAGAGGAAGGCTTTCTCCTTAACCCTCCAGGCCCCAGGAAGGCAGCTTTCCTTGATGGCCAGCAGCAGCCTGAAAGGGTGGGGCTACCTACTCCTGCAGAATTCCGGAATTAAACTAATGGTGAGGATGTGGCCACAGCCAAGGCTGCGTATAACAGGACAAAAAACGGGCACAGGTACTGTACATTTCAATATTAAGATATTCATTATTTCAGTCAAGCAATAGCCACCAAAAATAGACAAGTGATACAAGCTCATTGATAATATAACCTTAAGGAGCGTGGATATGCAGTGGAGGGAATTAAGGCCTCTTTACTAATAATCCTGTTAGATTTTGTAAACAACTCACCTTGCAGGACCGAAGCAGCAGAACACTGGTCACTTCAGGAGTGTAATAGTTATCAAACGCCGAATAGTCACGCAAAGATTGTCTCTGCGACGCCTTCACTTTGCCTTTGTAGCTTGAGCTGTAAAAGTCACCGGCATACCTGGCGAAGCTGAATATCCCCACACCTACGGAAAGAGGACAAGCGACAGCAGAATGACAGTCAGATTCCTGAAGGGCGTCCGGCCAGGGGGTGCGTGTCTGACTCCTGCCTTCACAGAGCCCAATATGCTCCAGGTCTACCAAGACAAAGGAGGACTTTGACCCAGATTTCCCTCTCGAAACTTTCTTCTACTATCCAATGTGTCCTGCCTTGTAAAGCTCAATTGTCTTTTGTCAAATTCTTGACAAACTGGAAGTTATGGAGGGTTTGGTTTTCCCACAAAAGAAGTTTTTTCTCAAAGAATAGTCCAAATCAAGTACTCCAGAAAGAGCAATGAAAATGATCATACAAACAACACACGCTCATGACTTCTCTCTTTAAGAACACGATAAAAAGCCCAGCCAGCATGGCTCAGTGGTTGAGCGTCGACCTATGAACCAGGATGTTAGGTTCGATTCCCAGTCAGGGCACATGCCCAGGTTGCGGGCTCGATCCCCAGTGTGGGGCATGCAAGGAGGCAGCTGATCAATGGCCATCTCATCACTGATGTTCCTCTCTCTCTCTCTCCCCCCCTTGCTCTCTGAAATCAATAAAAATATATATTTTAAAATCCCACAATAAGCAGATCTCCATGACCTATGTGTTAGTGAGGGACCTTTCCTTCCCTCATGCCATGCCCCTGAGTCCGTGGAGACCATGCCCGCGCCCTTAGACAAAAGACAGAACCTCTTCCCTCCTCCCCCTTCTTAGGCACAGCACAACTCTGTTATGTGGCTGGAGTCAGGGGACCAGAATAAACCTTCTTGTAACCGACTTCCTGTGTTAGGTCTTAGGCTTGTCTAAACCATCTTCACACACATAGAGGACAGAGTATGATTTTCAACTCATTCTAATGAGGATTGCCTTATAATCTGACTTGTTTACATTACCACTGTTAGTTATGCTTTTCAGTTCTTATTTGAAAGTCATAAGAAGCCTTTTTGTTACGGAAATGATTTCATAGTAAGTTTGTCCAATCCAACTTGATTCAGAAAGAATCTTCCTTGGAAAGTGTCCACTGGTATTTGAAATTTAGGGAGAAGGAAACATTCTGGAAGTTAAGAAGGAAACTGAATCTACTCATGTGTCACAAGTAACCCCTTCTGGCCAAAAAGTGTGGGCGTATTTTACCACAATACCTTTGGTAAGAGCATTTCGGGGGAATGCGTCCCAATGACTCTACAAATAGAATGTTTTCTTTATAACTAAACATTTCTCAATTTAAAAGCACAAATCTTTGTAAACCTGGAGAGAATAAAGTCACTTGTAAGACACTGTCTCACTGCCTGGCAGATCAATGCTGCGGGCTTGCTACTGTTTCTTGTATGTGATGCAGTATTTACGAAACTTAAAAAAATTAAAGTAGAAACATTTTGGAGGAATGCTTCCTGACCTCCTCAACTGTACAAGATAAATTAGCCAGCGATCTATAATAATAAAAGCGCAATATGCTAATTAGACCGGACAGCCAAACAACCTTCCAGTTGAAGGCGGGTGCCGTGGCTACGAGGGCCAAGCCCCTTGCACAAATTTTATGCATCAGGCCTCTAGTATCTACATATATAGTTTTAATTTTAAAATTTTTTTCCATCTCTACCAGGTTAAAAATAAAAGGAGAGAAAAAAATTTAGCTCATACAAGTTCATTTTTGATAGAAAGGCAGCACAACTCAGGAACACAGCAGTGACCTAAGTGTCC